CATTGTTCTGTCCATCCACATTGTTCTGTCCATCCACATTGTTCTGTCATCACATTGTTCTGTCCATCATTGTTCATCCACATTGTTCTGTCCATCCACATTGTTCTGTCCATCCACATTGTTCTGTCCATTCACATTGTTCTGTCCATCCACATTCCATCACATGTTCTCTCCATCCACATTGTTCTGTCCATCCACATTGTTCTGTCCATCCACATTGTTCTGTCCATCCACATTGTTCTGTCCATCCACATTGTTCTGTCCATCCACATTGTTCTGTCCATCCACATTGTTCTGTCCATCCATTGTTCTGTCCATCCACATTGTTCTGTCCATCCACATTGTTCTGTCCATCCACATTGTTCTGTCCATCCACATTGTTCTGTCCATCCACATTGTTCTGTCCATCCACATTGTTCTGTCCATCCACATTGTTCTGTCCATCCACATTGTTCTGTCCATCCACATTGTTCTGTCCATCCACATTGTTCTGTCCATCCACATTGTTCTGTCCATCCACATTGTTCTGTCCATCCACATTGTTCTGTCCATCCACATTGTTCTGTCCATCCACATTGTTCTGTCCATTGTTCTGTGCATCCACATTGTTCTGTCCATCCACATTGTTCTGTCCATCCACATTGTTCTGTCCATCCACATTGTTCTGTCCATCCACATTGTTCTGTCCATCCACATCCACATTGTTCTGTCCATCCACATTGTTCTGTCCATCCACATTGTTCTGTCCATCCACATTGTTCTGTCCATCACAATTGTTCTGTCCATCCACATTGTTCTGTCCATCCACATTGTTCTGTCCATCCACATTGTTCTGTCCATTCACATTGTTCTGTCCATCCACATTGTTCTGTCCATCCACATTGTTCTGTCCATCCACATTGTTCTGTCCATCCACATTGTTCTGTCCATCCACATTGTTCTGTCCATCCACATTGTTCTGTCCATCCACATTGTTCTGTCCATCCACATTGTTCTATCCATCCACATTGTTCTGTCCATCACATTGTTCTGTCCATCCACATTGTTCTGTCCATCCACATTGTTCTGTCCATCCACATTGTTCTGTCCATCCACATTGTTCTGTCCATCCACATTGTTCTGTCCATCCACATTGTTCTGTCCATCCACATTGTTCTGTTCATCCACATTGTTCTGTCCATCCACATTGTTCTGTCTATTCACATTGTTCTGTCTATTCACATTGTTCTGTCTATTCACATTGTTCTATCCATCCACATCCACATTGTTCTGTCCATCCACATTTTTCTGTTCATCCACATTGTTCTATCCATCCACATTGTTCTGTTCATCCACATTGTTCTGTCCATCCACATTGTTCTGTTCATCCACATTGTTCTGTCCATCCACATTGTTCTATCCATCCACATTGTTCTGTCCATCCACATTGTTCTGTCCATCCACATTGTTCTGTCCATCCACATTGTTCTGTCCATCCACATTGTTCTGTCCATCCACATTGTTCTGTCCATCCACATTGTTCTGTCCATCCACATTGTTCTGTCCATCCACATTGTTCTGTCCACATTCTGTCCATCCACATTGTTCTGTCCATCCACATTGTTCTGTCCATCCACATTGTTCTGTTCATCCACATTGTTCTGTCCATCCACATTGTTCTGTCCATCCACATTGTTCTGTCCATCCACATTGTTCTGTCCATCCACATTGTTCTGTTCATCCACATTGTTCTGTCTATCACTATTGTTCTATCCATCCACATTGTTCTGTCCATCCACATTGTTCTGTCCATCCACATTGTTCTGTCCATCCACATTGTTCTGTCCATCCACATTGTTCTGTCCATCCACATTGTTCTGTCCATCCACATTGTTCTGTCCATTGTTCTGTCCATCCACATTGTTCTGTCCATCCACATTGTTCTGTCCATCCACATTGTTCTGTCCATCCACATTGTTCTGTCCATCCACATTGTTCTGTCCATCCACATTGTTCTGTCCATCCACATTGTTCTGTCCATCCACATTGTTCTGTCTATCCACATTGTTCTGTCCATCCACATTGTTCTGTCCATCCACATTGTTCTGTCCATCCACATTGTTCTGTCCATCCACATTGTTCTGTCCATCCACATTGTTCTGTCCATCCACATTGTTCTGTCCATCCACATTGTTCTGTCCATTCACATTGTTCTGTCCATCCACATTGTTCTGTCCATCCACATTGTTCTGTCCATCACATCCACATTGTTCTGTTCTGTCCATCCACATTGTTCTGTCCATCCACATTGTTCCATTCACATTGTTCTGTCCATCCACACATTGTTCTGTCCATCCACATTGTTCTGTCCATCCACATTGTTCTGTCCATCCACATTGTTCTGTCCATCCACATTGTTCTGTCCATCCACATTGTTCTGTCCATCCACATTGTTCTGTCCATCATTGTTCACATTGTGTTCTGTCCATCCACATTGTTCTGTCCATCCACACATTGTTCTGTCCATCCACATTGTTCTGTCAATCCATCCACATTGTTCTGTCCATCCACATTGTTCTGTCCATCCACATTGTTCTGTCCATCCACATTGTTCTGTCCATCCACATTGTTCTTCTGTTCCATCCACATTGTTCTGTCCATCCACATTGTTCTGTCCATCCACATTGTTCTGTCAATCCACATCCACATTGTTCTGTCCATCCACATTGTTCTGTCCATGTACATTGTTCTGTCCATCCACATTGTTCTGTCCATCCACATTGTTCTGTCCATCCACATTGTTCTGTCCATCCACATTGTTCTGTCCATCCACATTGTTCTGTCCATCCACATTGTTCTGTCCATCCACATTGTTCTGTCCATTCACATTGTTCTGTCCATCCACATTGTTCTGTCCATCCACATTGTTCTGTCCATCCACATTGTTCTGTCCATCCACATTGTTCTGTCCATCCACATTGTTCTGTCCATCCACATTGTTCTGTCCATCCACATTGTTCTGTCCATCCACATTGTCTGTCCATCCACATTCTGTCCATCCACATTGTTCTGTCCATCCACATTGTTCTGTCCATCCACATCCACACATTGTTCTGTCCATCCACATTGTTCTGTCCATCCACATTGTTCTGTCCATCCACATTGTTCTGTCCATCCACACATTGTTCTGTCCATCCACATTGTTCTGTCCATCCACATTGTTCTGTCACATCCACATTGTTCTGTCCATCCACATTGTTCTGTCCATCCATTTGTTCTGTCCATCCACATTGTTCTGTCCATCCACATTGTTCTGTCCATTGTTCTGTCATCACATGTTCTGTCCATCCACATTGTTCTGTCCATCCACATTGTTCTGTCCATCCACATTGTTCTGTCCATCCACATTGTTCTGTCCATCCACATCCACATTGTTCTGTCCATTCACATTGTTCTGTCCATCCACATTGTTCTGTCCATCCACATTGTTCTGTCCATCCACATTGTTCTGTCCATCCACATTGTTCTGTCCATCCACATTGTTCTGTCCATCCACATTGTTCTGTCATTGTTCTGTCATCCACATTGTTCTGTCCATCCACATTGTTCTGTCCATCCACATTGTTCTGTCCATCCACATTGTTCTGTCCATCCACATTGTTCTGTCCATCCACATCCACATTGTTCTGTCCATCCACATTGTTCTGTCCATCCACATCCACATTGTTCTGTCCATCCACATTGTTCTGTCCATCCACATTGTTCTGTCCATCCACATTGTTCTGTCCATCCACATTGTTCTGTCCATCCACATTGTTCTGTCCATCCACATTGTTCTGTCCATCCACATTGTTCTGTCCATCCACATTGTTCTGTCCATCCACATTGTTCTGTCCATCCACATTGTTCTGTCCATCCACATTGTTCTGTCCATCCACATTGTTCTGTCCATCCACATTGTTCTGTTCCATCATTGTTCTGTCCATCCACATTGTTCTGTCCATCCACATTGTTCTGTCCATCCACATTGTTCTGTCCATCCACATTGTTCTGTCCATCCACATTGTTCTGTCCATCCACATTGTTCTGTCCATCCACATTGTTCTGTCCATTCACATTGTTCTGTCCATCCACATTGTTCTGTCCATCCACATTGTTCTGTCCATCCACATTGTTCTGTCCATCCACATTGTTCTGTCCATCCACATCCACATTGTTCTGTCCATCCACATCCACATTGTTCTGTCCATTCACATTGTTCTGTCCATCCACATTGTTCTGTCCATCCACATTGTTCTGTCCATTCACATTGTTCTGTCCATCCACATTGTTCTGTCCATCCACATCCACATTGTTCTATCCATCCACATCCACATTGTTCTGTCCATCCACATCCACATTGTTCTATCCATTCACATTGTTCTGTCCATCCACATTGTTCTGTCCATCCACATTGTTCTGTCCATCCACATTGTTCATCCACATTGTTCTGTCCATTCACATTGTTCTGTCCATCCACATTGTTCTGTCCATTCACATTGTTCTGTCCATTCACATTGTTCTGTCCATCCACATTGTTCTGTCCATCCACATTGTTCTGTCCATTCACATTGTTCTGTCCATTCACATTGTTCTGTCCATTCACATTGTTCTGTCCATCCACATTGTTCTGTCCATCCACATTGTTCTGTCCATCCACATTGTTCTGTCCATCCACATTGTTCTGTCCATCCACATTGTTCTGTCCATCCACATTGTTCTGTCCATCCACATTGTTCTGTCCATCCACATTGTTCTGTCCATTCACATTGTTCTGTCCATCCACATTGTTCTGTCCATTGTCACATTCTGTCCATTCACATTGTTCTGTCCATTCACATTGTTCTGTCCATTCACATTGTTCTGTCCATCCACATTGTTCTGTCCATTCACATTGTTCTGTCCATCCACATTGTTCTGTCCATCCACATCCCTATTGTTCTGTCAACACTTTCTAAAACAAATTAAATGTTTGTATCCAGGTCCCGCCGGCGAGCATTTGAGGAAGAGAAACATACACTCATGTCATATTCCCGGCTGTGGTAAAGTTTACAACAAGACATCTCATCTTAAAGCCCACCTCCGGTGGCACACCGGGGAACGGCCTTTTGTGTGTAACTGGCTGTTCTGTGCTAAAAGGTAAGTGCTAGCATTGTTCTGTTCTGTGCTAAAAGATAAGTGCTAACACTGTTCTGTGCTAAAAGGTAAGTGCTAACACTGTTCTGTGCTAAAAGGTAAGTGCTAACACTGTTCTGTGCTAAAAGGTAAGTGCTAACACTGTTCTGTGCTAAAAGGTGAGTCCTAACACTGTTCTGTGCTAAAAGGTGAGTCCTAACACTGTTTTGAATTCCTCTATGTGCTGCTAAACAAAAACAAAACAATGCATAGTAATGGAATGGAGCGTTTTTATTAGTTGGCTATAACGCCCGTACGTCTAAAAATGATGACACAGATGTAAAACAAGTGTTAAATGATTCGCTGAACCCTAAGGTATTCTTGTGTCCAGTTTGAACAATTTCAGTCATTTTTTAACAAGGATTTTGAACATTGTTTTTTAACTACAAAATTGTGTTTCTTTTAGAAGCTATACGTATTTATTTTCAATGTTGTAATTGATATAACACAAGGTTGGTTATAACTCATTTGAAGGCAACTTATCGCAAATATCATTCTTTTGACCGTGTAACGAGAAGAGAGAAAGTGAAATATGTTATAACAAATGACAGGATTTATCACCAAAGGGGTGCCAGAAGACAACAGGAGAAGATTCCTGAAAGCCTTGTGTGATCACAAACATCAGAAAGAGACAGTCATCATTTGTGGTCATGTGATGAGAAGAAACTGGAACATGTTGTGACCACTGACAAGATCTGTGGAAAGAGAGACAAGGGAAGACAGCGGGAGAAGGTTCTTGACAGTCTTTTGTCGCGGCATGGAGGGGTTTCAACACACGAACTGTTACACGCAGCTGCGGATCGCAGATTGTAGAGAGGCATGATCGCACACGCCAGTCTGCAAGGTATTTGATAGTGATGTTGCAAAATAATTCTGAGGTAAATGGACCTCCTGTTTTCTTTGATTGGGGGGTAGGGGAGAAAGGGGGGGGGGGACTGTCCTGCATGTTGTAACAAATGATGAAAGGTTTGCTGAAATCGGATATTCTGGGCCGGAAGACGTAGATATATCGCAGCCTAGCTGTAAACCACTTTAGAATAAACCAAACGCTCTTTTGAGAGCGAATAAAGAAGAAGTAAAAAAGCAGGGAGAATAACAAGGAGAATGCTGGACTGAAACATCAAAATGCCAACATTTGTCAGAATTTTAGTTTCTGGTGAAGCCTGGAACATAAGTGCACTGATTAAAGTAGTGGTGGTAGCAGTAGTAGTGATGATGATGGCAATAGTGGTATTAATAGCAGTAGTGGTGGTGGTAGTGGTGGTGGTAGAGGTGGTGATGGCAGTAATTTTAGCTAAAGCAAGGAGACTAACTCAGCGTTGTCTTCCTCCGTAGATTCACGAGATCTGACGAACTGCAGCGACATCTACGGACCCACACAGGAGAGAAGAGATTCGCCTGTCCCAAATGTAATAAAAGGTATTATGTGATGTCATTGATAGTAGTTGTTATACTTCTTTTTGTGTTTCTCTCTTTTTCTGTTTATTCACTATCATTCCATCCTGCTCCGCCTGATCCTCATCCTTCTGTTGGTATCCACAATTAGAACAACTACTTCATGTACAAATCTTTTTCTCTACATGTTTCTCTGTCCTACGTTAGCTCCAGGCAAAGTCAATGGCAAAGTCTGTTGATACAAGCACTTCATCTGTATTTTGGCGGGGCTTTGATAAATATGTGTACATGGGGCTTTGACAAATGACAGAAAATATGTGTACATGGGGCTTTGACAAATGATATAAAATATGTGTACATGGGGGCTTTGACAAATGACATAAAAATATGTGTACATGGGGGCTTTGATAAATGACATAAAAATATGTGTACATGGGGGCTTTGATAAATGACATAAAAATATGTGTACATGAGGGCTTTGATAAATGACATAAAAATATGTGTACATGGGGCTTCAAAATGACATAAAAATATGTGTACATAGGGCTTTGATAAATGACATTAAAATATGTGTACATGGGGCTTTGATAAATGACATACAAATATGTGTACATGAGGGCTTTGATAAATGACATAAAAATATGTGTACATGGGGCTTCAAAATGACATAAAAATATGTGTACATAGGGCTTTGATAAATGACATTAAATATGTGTACATAGAGGCTTTGATAAATGGCATAAAAATATGTGTACATGCGAATGTTTCAACAGACCTCCAGTGGTATAGTTATCAACACATTTAAATGTTCCAATAGTTAAAGAGTCTTAATTGCTCTGTCTGATGTCTTTAATTTGGTGTCTTTTGTCTGGTGTCTTCTATCTGGTGTCTTCAGTCTGGTGTCTTCTGTCTGGTGTCTTCTGTCTGGTGTCTTCTGTCTGGTGTCTTCTATCTGGTGTCTTCTATCTGGTGTCTTCTGTCTGGTGTCTTTATCTGGTGTCTTCTATCTGGTGTCTTCAGTCTGGTGTCTTCTGTCTTGTGTCTTCTGTCTTGTGTCTTCTGTCTGGTGTCTTCTGTCTGGTGTCTTCTGTTTGGTGTCTTCTGTCTGGTGTCTTTTGTCTGGTGTCTTTTGTCTGGTGTCTTTTGTCTGGTGTCTTTTGTCTGGTGTCTTTTGTCTGGTGTCTTTTGTCTGGTGTCTTTTGTCTGGTGTCTTCTGTCTGGTGTTTTCTATCTGGTGTTTTCTGTCTGGTGTCAGTCATAAGCTGCGTTTGCGTCCTTATACATCTCCATTACTTTGGCTGTTTCTTGCTTTCTGAATGTTTGTGTTAAACACCAAATCTACAGAAAGAGGAAACTGTTTCGTCTGGAATGCCCTGGATTGATAACCGTCTGTTAAAGCTATATCCACAGAACATTTGTGTCAATGTCTTGTCTCTTCCCTGGCAGTCTAATCCATAAATCAAGTGCCGTCTCCACATTGAAGGTTGTCTACATGGATGTAAAACACACTCTATCTCTCACGCTCTAGTGTAAGTTCTCTCTGACTGCTGTTCGTTCGTCTTCGGTGTTATCCCCAAATTTGTCTCGCTGTATACCTCTTGCCTTCAACATTCCTCTCTGTTATATTTATAAAATGTTGTTTGCTGAAATATGTAACTTATATATCTACCCCCCCCCCCCCCCCCCCCCACCACCCCCCCCCCCCGTAAGGCTGTCTTGTCATTCCCAGTATGTCTGCCACATTGAATACGATCACGAGTTTGAGTCTTCTACCCACGAAACACGACATATTCTCCCGTATATCCACATGTCCAAGACAGTTGACTTACCTATCTGCTTGTTGCTCATGCAGGTTTCTCTGCGCTATTCAACAGGGTTGATTATTTATAACATTAGACAACTGCTTTTGTTTAATTTGTTTAATGTTTTTAAATCTCTACAGGTAAATAGTTTTCGCATATTAGTGAAGATACTTTTGGCCATTCCTTTTCTACTTCTGGTTTCTGTTTCACCTCTGCCACCATGTGTTTTTACCTAACCAAAATAATATAACCCTGTTACTTGTAGCACTTCTCCTTCACTGCAGTGTTCATTGTTGGTTTTTCCTCAGTTATTACAAGACAGAAGTAAGTTCTAAGCGTTTTATTATCAATATTTCTTTCTTGTCCCCAGATTCATGCGCAGTGACCACCTCAGCAAACATGTGAAAACCCACGCACAGAACGAGAAGAAGGAAGGAGAGGACAGCAATGAAGACGATAGAAAAATTGACACCTGAAAAATCTTGACTGACTTGATTCTAAAAATAATCTTCGGACTCTCGGGATTTCCCGATGGTGTTGAAAAACTGGACAATGAGAATTTGTGTTTTCCCAGGTCCAATGAAATGGCAGCCACAAGGATTTGGTAGGATTGTATTTCTACAAGGTGAGTGAGGATATCGTGGAAGGATCGGAGTTATCTGGTAGCTCTTTATTCTTCCAACAACTCCAGACGTCATCGGGAAAGTATTCGCAGAGAGTATCAAGCAGCTGATTGTGTTCACATCTCTACAGTTTGTCCCCAGATGGAGCGGATGTTTGTTGCAATCAATGTCTCTGTGCTGCATATGCTAAACACTTTTGTTGTAAAATTGATATCACAGTTACATTCGTTCAAGTCTCTTATTTGATGAACCCCTCCCCGTGTGGGTTTCAGGCCACCATGTTGATGAAATACAAGAACAGCCCTACTGCCCCGCCCTCCCCAACAAGCCTGTCATGACAGTCGAATAATTAGGAGTGTACCCTTTGAAGTCGTAGCACATCTGCCTTATAGGCAAGAAGCCAACAGTCGGCACACAAACACGCCAGATCTGAAACAAAATGGATCAGCACGCACAATCCTCATTTTTTTTAAAGACTAAAGACCACATGTGGACGAAGAACCTGAAATTTTCACTGGAGTTTACTGTTAATAAATGCAAAGAAGAAAGAACTGCTAGCCTTCTGCTACAACCAGTGACGCGAAGAAGAAAGAATTGCTATGTTTGTTTACAGCCAGTGAAGGCGAAGAAGAAAGAACTGCTATGTTTGTTTACAGCCAGTGAAGGCGAAGAACAAAGAACTGCTATGTTTGTTTACAGCCAGTGAAGGCGAAGAAGAAAGAACTGCTATGTTTGTTTACAGCCAGTGAAGGCGAAGAAGAAAGAACTGCTATGTTTGTTTACAACCAGTGAAGGCGAAGAAGAAGCAGGAGTAGATAATTCCCTTCGTTTTCAAGGTCCCAAGTAGGTTGAGACTCCAGATCGGGATATTGAGAGCATCTCCCATTGGAGCGGTTACAGTGCGGACTCTCATGCCCAATACCCGGGTTCGACCCTTGGTAAGGTGATGGGGTTCTGTTGGGGACTAGATTGAACATCCTTACATACACAGCCCTAACCGGGGGGGGGGGGGGGGGGGGGGGGGCTCACGGTCCCCTCTGTCTGTGCTACCCCAGGCTCACGGTCCCCTCTGTCTGTGCTACCCGAGGCTCACGGTCCCCTCTGTCTGTGCTACCCCAGGCTCACGGCCCCCTCTATCTGTGCTACCCGAGGCTCACGACCCCCTCTGTCTGTGCTACCCGAGGCTCACGGCCCCCTCTGTCTGTGCTACCCGAGGCTCACGACCCCCTCTGTCTGTGCTACCCGAGGCTCACGGCCCCCTCTGACTGAGCTACCCCAGGCTCACGGCCCCCTCTGTCCGTGCTACCCTAGAAAGGTGGCAATTACAGACAGGAGTGGCAGTTGACGGTTTTTTCATGGAGCTCTGACAAATGTGGAGCAAACAACCTGAAACAGATGTGTCTACAACAATTGTGATGTGGAGCAAACAATTTGAGACAGATGTGTCTACAACATATGTGGAGCAAACAATTTGAGACAGATGTGTCTACAACATATGTGGAGCAAACAATTTGAGACAGATGTGTCTACAACATATGTGAAGCAAACAATTTGAGACAGATGTGTCTACAACATATGTGGAGCAAACAATTTGAGACAGATGTGTCTACAACAAATGTGAAGCAAACAATTTGAGACAGATGTGTCTACAACAAATGTGAAGCAAACAATTGAGACAGATGTGTCTACAACAAATGTGAAGCAAACAATTTGAGACAGATGTGTCTACAACAAATGTGAAGCAAACAATTTGAGACAGATGTGTCTACAACAAATGTGAAGCAAACAATTTGAGACAGATGTGTCTACAACAAATGTGAAGCAAACAATTTGAGACAGATGTGTCTACAACATATGTGGAGCAAACAATTTGAGACAGATGTGTCTACAACATATGTGGAGCAAACAATTTGAGACAGATGTGTCTACAACATATGTGGAGCAAACAATTTGAGACAGATGTGTCTACAACATATGTGGAGCAAACAATTTGAGACAGATGTGTCTACAACATATGTGGAGCAAACAATTTGAGACAGATGTGTCTACAACATATGTGGAGCAAACAATTTGAGACAGATGTGTCTACAACAAATGTGAAGCAAACAATTTGAGACAGATGTGTCTACAACATATGTGGAGCAAACAACCTGAGAGAGATGTGTCCTTCTTTATGTTCCCCAGCTTTAAGCTCCGGCCTCAAGTGCTGGTTGTTCATATAGTTATGGCATACAAACGTTGCAATCATCAACAGTTCCACGTGTGGTTTCCTGGGCTACTTAAGGAAAGAGGCGGGGCGGGGTGTTTATACCCATTTATCCTATTTAAACATGCCGTAAAAGACTAATTCCTAATTAACTTAAATATTATGTGTTGGCGCCAATATCACATGTTAGCTGCAAACGACAACACAGCGCCCAGTCATCAGTGCAAGTGTGAATAAAGAAAAAGAAATATCTCCAGTGCTCTGGGTTTTGTGTACTGAGCTGAGATATCCTGCAGAAGAAGATTACATGTCTGGATTCGGTTGCTTTGTTGTTCTGTTAATTGGGTGTAGCTGTATCTGCTGGTCGTGTTGATACAAACGTGGTTCTTGGTGACTCCAGTGTCAAATATCTTGTGTGATAAAAGAGATAGCAGTCAGCCGGTGTTTGTTCTTGTTGTCTTTATGGGTGCTCGTTGGTGTGTGCTCTTGTTGTCTTTATGGGTGCTCGTTGGTGTGTGCT